CTGAATCCTGTAACAGCCTGCACACCCAATGAGATGGAGACTCCAATACAACGGGAAAAAGAGCCATCCCAGGCAGGGCAGGGCCAGTGACAGGAGCGTAAATGGGCCTATGTACACAGCATGTGCCTCTGAAAAGCAAGCTGCCCCCTGTGATTTTTCCAAGATTGGTCCCCTGGGTGCACCACCAAGTGTGCCAGTCCATACGGCACCCAGTCTTTCTCCCCAGAGCTATACTCTCGCAAACCTAACACACCCCAACCCTGACAGCAGAGGAGCTAACATCGTCTGAAACTCACTGGAAACTATCAGCCCCCATTTCACACCAAAAGGCACACGACAGGGACAGTGAAGGGCCAGGACTTTCTCCTCTCCTGCTGAGCCTGAGGGACTGTGCTTAGTTATTAGTCAGGCTCCTTAGCACCTACATAGGAGACCAGGAGAGCAAAGAGAGAGCAGAAAAGAAGAGGTGGGGATCCATCTATTCCCCACCCCGTTAGTTCTACAGGCTCAGAAGGAGGAAACGCAAACTTTCGGTTAAAAGAAGACTTGGGGGAATTATTCAGGTTTAATGGATGTTGAAACGAGTGATTTACACAGTTCCTTGCAGCCTTGACTTTTGGTGATAAATTCATTATATTTCTAGCCCAACCTGGAATCCTGTCTCCTATTAGCACAGATGATCAAAATCCTGCCACCAGACTCCTCAAAAGAATGGTCTCTACCTGCCTTGGCGTCCTCACTAGCATGTTCCCTTCTTGTTGTCTTTGCATGGATATGGGCATCATACTCTCACACGGTTAACACCGGGAACACCACCCATAGGCCTTTCCTCAGCCCTTATCCCCCCTGGTCTCTTTGCAGTCTTTGCCTTCACACCTTGAGACTTTTCCATTGTCTTCAATGACACTAACCACTTAGCTTCCCTCTGCCTGAGCGCTGGACCAGTTCTCTCAAACCCCATCCAGGTTAACATCAAAGATGCCATCACTTCCACATCTCATCAGTTACCATTTGGGGTAGATTTCCATTCTCCTCCCTGTGGAATCAACTGGCCTTGATTTTCCTTTGGGTACCACTCTCAGTCCATGTGGTTAGGATGACCCCACCTCTCAACCATGCTCTCCCGGGCTCCATCGGAAAGCTGCCCAGTGATTTCCCTTTTTTCTTGGAATTACCGAAGATTTTTAGAATCTTTCAGAGAAGGTTGCTAAGCTAGAAAATGAAGCTAACGCAGAGGAAAGTAAAGCCAAGACTTCTGATGACGTTGCCTTCGCCTCTTCTATTAATTCTTTATTGCTGCGTAAGCCCATAAGTTGTTTGTTGTTCAAACAACAAACCTTTATCATCTCAGTTTCTGTGGTCAGGGGTCTGGGAACAGTTTCCCCAGACCTTGGGCCTTATCCAGGGTTTCTCTCAAGGCTGCAATCAAGGTGCCAGCCACAGCGGTAGCCATCTGAACACTCAACTGGAGGAGTTCATTCCCAGTTCACCCACGTGGTTGTTTGCAGACCTGAGGTCCTCGATGGTGGGTGAGGCATTAGTTCCTCACCACAGGAAGGGATGCTCTCGCTCCTGACTCTATCACGACTTTCGTCATGAGTTTTGGCAACTGGATGATAGTATCCATCTTACAAGTTGGGCTCTCAGTCTTTCAACCTTTTTGTTCCTCCAGCCTTTTTCCTGACCAGGCTGCAGGGCTCAAGGGGCCCCACCTTTGGAGTGCCTTCTTTGAAATTTTCTAAGGTACCTGGGACCAGCAAGGACTGGCAGAACCATCTGAACAACCCCCTCCCTAGGATCGCCCACCTATGAACCCCATACATAAGGTAGACCAGATGTCCAAGGAGCTCTGGCCTGTGTGCTGACAGGGTATTTCTCTGGTGGGACTAGGTAAGACTGGGCAGCCAGAACAGCCTTGGCATGCTGATTTGGGGTGACTCAAATTGTTTATATAGACAGGGACCCACACATCCTAGGAGCAGCCCTGCCTCCACCCACCTTGGCTACCTACTCCCATGGTCATCTCCTTAACCTGCTATTTTAAATCAGTGCTTCTCAAGCCTGGATGAACATTAGAAACCCCAGGGGAGCTTTTGAAAAGCAGCGCGCCTTAGGACCCATCCTACATCAATTAATTCAGAATCTCAATCAAAATCAAAATCCTCAGGCCCTGTTTTTTTGAAGTTCTCCAGATAATTCTAACATTGAGAAGACCTGCTTTAAATAGATGGCCACAAATCTCAAATAGGCACTCAACTCTTGCTCCTCTGCCCTCAGTGGAACAGTTCAATGGGCAAATAATTTAGGCATCTCCTGGACGTATTAGAAAATTGTGCGTCGGGGCCGGCCGGGTGGCGCAGCGGTTAAGTTCCCACACTCCGCTTCTCAGCGGCCCAGGGTTCGCTGGTTCAGATCCCGGGTGCGGACATGGTGCTGCTTGGCACGCCATGCTGTGGTAGGCGTCCCACATATAGAGTAGAGGAAGATGGGCATGGATGTTAGCTCAGGGCCAGTCTTCCTCAGCAAAAAGAGGAGGACTGGCAGTAGTTAGCTCAGGGCTAATCTTCCTCAAAAAAAAGAAAAGAAAAGAAAATTGTGCATCTTTCTAAGCTTCCCATGGCAGAAGCGCTGTGTGGTCTTGCTACGCGAAGTGGGATCCAAGGACAGCACATCAACATTCCCCGGGAGCTTGTTAGAAATGCAGAATCTGCATTTTAACAAATCCCCCTGTGATTCATTTGCACACTCAAGTGTGAGAAGCTCAGTTCAAGCCCTGTAGCAACCCTACTATAGTTACCCAGTGGGTTTGTTTTCCAACTACCAAACAACTGTTTCATACTCTTTCTCAGATAACGCCTTGCCTCACATTTAGAAAGACAGGAACATCTGAGGGTAACTGCACATCAGCCCACTGCCCAAATTCCATTGTACCCACATCAGTGCCCACATTCTCAGCATTCCCTCCCATTACAGTGACGAGAAGGTCCTCCCCCTATCAAAGACAACCTACCTGCTTTCTACCTGTCAGCACATCACACTGAGCTTTCAAAAAGGAGAGAGAGAGAAATATACCTTTGACCCCACTCCTCCAGCCCCCGACTATTCCTTTGCTTCTCATCGACAGCAAATGTTTTCACCAAAAGAGTTACCTGTAGTCATGACCTCCACTTTCTTACCTCTAACGCTCTCCTGCCCACTCCGCTGAGCCTACTCCTCTCAGTGTCACCAATGACCTCCATGCTGTTAGCAAATCGAAGGGCACCTGTCTCTGCTCGAGTCCTTGGCCAGCCAGGGGCAGTCAACATTCCCTCCTTCTTGGCTTCCATGGCATCTCACGTTTTCTCAAGCAGTCTCCTTTCTAGAGCTTCCTTTTAAGCTCAATCTTAAATGTTACAGCTCTCTCCTGCCCCTGCCCCTCTTTTCTATCCACTCACTCTCTTGAGGGGCCTGATCCAGTCCCATAGCTTTACACACCCGCTATTTCCTGATGACCCTAAATTCCTATCTCTAGCCCTGATCTTTCCCCACGTCCACATGGCTACTTGCCATCTCCACACACATGCTCAGACTCTAACAAGTCCAAAAAAGAACCCGTCTTCCTCACTTCCAAAACCAAGGCCAATCAATACAAACCTGCTCGCCGGGCCTCATTTTAGCAAATGACACCACCAGCCATCCTGCTGCTTAAGCCTGAAGTCTAAGATCATCAAGCTCTCCCACCTTCCCCACCCAATCCCTCTCTACCCCTGTCAGTTCTCCCTCTAAAACTCATCCAGGAGCCATCCTCACTTCTCCATTTCCACAGCTGCCACCCTATTCCCAAGGTACCATCCACACGTCCCTGGTTTACTACAATGATCTAACCGGTCTCCTGGTTCCACTTTTCATCCCCTACAATTCATTCTCAACACGGCAGCCGGAGGGAACCTGTAAAACACTAATCAGGTCATGTCAATCTTTAAGGAAAATCATCCAAAGGCTTTGCACTACTCTTAGAAAAAAATCCAAACTATTTAGCCTAATTCACAAAGCAACAAAGTCTGCCTCCTATCTACCTCCTCTTACGTCATTTTATGCCACTCTCTCCAGCCACACCGACATTCTAGCTCTGCGCCCTTCAATACAGTAGACACGAGCTGCATGTGGCTATTTAAAGTTGTCAGCTAAAAATAACACAAAATGTAAATTTCAGTTCCTAAGTCTTACTAGCCACATTTCAAGTGCTCAGTTGTCACATGAGGCTGGTGGCCTCGTGGCTAGTGCAGTATAGAACATTTCCTTCAGTGCAGAAAGTTCTATTGGACAGTGCTGTTCTGGCTGTTCCCTGCATGGGGCAAGTTTGGTCCCTCCTTATGGTCCCTGTACTCACCGTCACCTCTGCCTGAAGTGCCCGTCCCCCAGCTCCGCCCATGGCTGCATCTAGACCTCAGCTTAAATGTCACCTCCTTGGAGAGGCCTTCCCTGAGCACCCAGTCCAAAGAAGCTAGCAGTTAGCCAATCACATGAACTGATTTAACTCTCCCCAGCATTCACCACTGGCTAATGCTCTTCTAGTTCATTTGCGTTTGTCTGCTTATTGCCTAACTCCACCACGCCACCTCGCCCCAAAGTGGACTTATGAGCTCAGGGACCTTGTCGGTCTTGCTCACCACCGCATTCCAGCTCCTGTCCTACGCCGGTGGAGTGCAGTGCCCGACAGGCTCTGCTCAATTAGTATTCGTTGACTGTTAGACCCATGTCGTATTCTCAGCTCCTCCTAAATCTTTCACAACCATCACCTTTCCTCCATTTTCCCTGCCACCACCCAGTGTGGGCCGTCATCTGCTCCACCCTGACGTACAACAAACAGAATCCTGCCTCTGCCCTCCAGCCAACCCTGCGAACACCAGCAGATTACCTTGTGACTATTCCTCTTGTCAACTCATTTCCCTGTCCCTGTCCCTGCCCCTGCCGGGCCCAAATGGCCTTCACGTCCCCAGACGTGGCACGCTCGTTCCTACCTCAGTGCTGCTGGTCTCTCCCTCCACTTGGAGCATTCTCGCCGTTTCTTGGTGAAGCCACACCTTCTCCTGCCTTCCAGGTGTGGCGCTGGTGGCAGTTCCTCTGCAGACACTGGCCCCTCCTCTGGTCTTCTCCAGCACTTCCTGTCTGCAGCCTTGCTTTGGCGCTTACAAGAAGTTCCACCTCTCACATGCACACAAGCAGATAATCCCTGAGATTATTCCTAAGAGCAATGGTTCTCGAACTTTGCTGAGGATCAAAATCACCTGGAGTGTTCACAAAGAACACACAGGTCCAGGCTCACTGAAGGAGCCTAGGTCTGGGCCTCTGTCCTTTTTCCACATTCCCTGGGTGACTCAGAGATCCATCAAATGGGAGACCCACTTCTTTAGAAGAGCAGACCTGCAAGAGCAGTTGCTCAAGTTCTGTCCATTTCTACCAATTCAGAACACCTGGGGAGTGACCAACTGGGTTCATAACCTTCTGTCTCACAAACTGGCTCTTCTTCAAGTATTCAAAGCTACCCACTGTGACAGACTGAAAATAGCCCCCCAAAGATATCTACATCCTAATACCGGGAACCTGCAAACATGACTTTACATGACAAAAGGGACTTTACAAGTGTGACTTTGAGATTTTTGAGATGGGGAGGTCATGCTGGATTATCTGGGTGGGCTCTAAATACAATCACAAGGGTCCTTACAAAAGGAAGACAATAAGAGCAAAAAGGGAAGAAGCTATATGAGGACACAAATGGGGGGAGAAAAGGCTATATGATGGACAGCCATGAGCCAAGGACAGGGTCTCCAGAAGATGGAAAAGGAAAGGAACAGATGCCTCCCTTGACCCCCGAGCCTCCAGAAGCCCACCCTGTGACACCTTGGTCTTGGCCTTGGCGGACTCATTTCACACTTCAGACCTTCAGAACCATGAGAGAATAAATGTGTAGTCTTAAGTTGCTAAGTCTGTGGCAATTCGTTACAGCAGCAACAGGAAACAAACACACCTCCTCTTCTGTAACATGACCAGGTAAAGTTCTAGGGGTCCAAGGATGGTCATCCTCTAAACCCATGTGTCTGTATTTAACTCATGTATTAAAATACAGCACAAGATGCTCCATTTAGATGGCACTGGGTTGCTTTGTTCCTTACTGTGCCCACAATGCCCAGCTCAGTGCCTGCCATGTATGTCTGTGGATACCAAAATTCCTCAAGGCAGGCCAGTATTCCACCTTGGAATTTGGGACCCTCCCTGATAGGCCTGGTAGCCTAACCCCAATGGTGTTACAAGAGGGGAAATACATGAGTTCCCGAAACCGACAGGTCACCACGCTTGGACGCCCTGGGGAAGAACCACCACTGTTTCAACTTGAGTCAAAACGTAGACCAAACAGACTGCTTCTTAGACGCCTGGTTTCATCCTGAAAAGCGTACAGCTTAGAGCTGTGCTGTCCAATATGGTCACCACTAGGCCACAGAAATGTTTAAATATAAACTAATTAAAAACAAAATTGAAGACACAGTTCCTCAGTCACAGTAGCCATATCTCAAGTGCCATGTGTTAGCAGCTACTGCATTGGGTGGCACAAACACAGAACATTTCCGTCATCATAGAAAGTTCTACTGGACTGTGCTGGCTTAGAGCATCTCTCAAGCATTCTTGGCTCCAGCCCCCTGATTAGAAAAACTTAAGAGAGAAATGCAGCCACCAGACCCCATTCCATTCTACGCTGGAATTCATTCTCGAGCGTGCGTCTTCTGACGCACAGCCAGGAAAGGTGCCCAGAGCTATTTGCCCAAGTCTGACTTTTCACTGAAGAGATTCCATCTTTGGAAAGTGAGAAGCAGAAGTCACAGGGTGAGGAAACTGTGAACAGGAGACAGGACTCACGGAGGGGTGAGGTGAGGGAAGGCGGGTTAGACAGAGGAAGCAGTAGGGAAAAGAGAAGGGGAGGAGCACATAGAAAAGGATCCTAGTGATGTTGTCCAGAGCAGAAACTTCAAACGTTGAAAAGGAGGCCTCCTTTGAGACCTGTAAGCGGGTAAAACAACGCGCCAGCCTGGAGAGGGGCTAGACCACTGCTCAGAGAAGGGTCTGCAGGACAGAGGGTCCTCTCCCTGTGGCCCTCGGGAGCCTGGAGGGCCCCCACAGGAGGCAGCGATAGTGTGGGGGAGAGATGGAGAGAGCAAATCAGCTGAGAGCAAAGACACAAAACTCTTCCACACAGAAATTTTTATAATTTGTAAATACACTGTGCTGGCGAGGCTGTGGGGAGACGGGTACTCCTGGACACCGCTGTGGAAGGGTAAGCCAGCACTGCCACGCTGGAGGCAATCTGGCACTTTCTAGCAAAATCACAAACACTTACAGTCTTTGCTCCAGCCTTTGTATTTCAGGAACTTATCTTTCAGAAGACTCGCTCATGTGTGGAATGACGGACACACAAGGGTATCCGCAGCAGTGAAGGCAACAGGAAAAGATTAGAAGCAACCTTTATGCCCATCAGTGAAATTAGTTCAGGAAGGCACTAAAAAGAATGAGGACTTCCTTTCTATTGACTATACTCCAAGATATATTGTTCTAGGGCTTAAAAAACAGCAGCAGCAGCAACAAGGTGCAGAAGTAAGAAAGAGCTCCCACCCCTGTGAAGGAAAACAAAGGTGCACATGGACCTGTGGATGCCGCCCTATTTCTGGAAGTTCCCGTAAGAAACTGGTCACTTGCTTCCCTCCAGGGAAGGCGCTGATGGGCAGAAGACAGGAGCCATGTTTTCACCCCAGGTTCTTTAGTTCCCTTCCAATATCAGACCTGATCTATATATCACCTACCCTCCAAGTGTGAAATTAACAAACGGAGATACACTTCCGGGTAGTTACAGATCTTCCTCAACTTACAATAGGCTTACATCCTGATAAATCCAGTGTAGTCAAAAATGCATTTAACACACGTCACCTGCCAAACATCATAGCCTAGCCTACCTTCAGGGTGCTCAGCACACCTACATTAGCCCCCAGCTGGGCAGAATCATCTCACACGGAGCTCATCTTATAATACAGTGCTAAATATCTCACGTCATTCATTGAATACTGTCCTGAAAGTGAAAATAGGATGGCTGTCCAGGTACAGAGTGACCGTAAGGGTGCCGGCTGTTCACCCTCGTGGTCGCGGGGCTGAGTTGGGGTGCGGCTCGCTGCCCCTGCCCAGCACCACAGAGAGGATCGTGCTGCAGATGGCTAGCCCGGGAAAAGAGCAACATTCAAAATTCACAGGCCGGCTTCTACGGAATGCGTATCGCTTTTACACTGTCGTAAAGTTGAAAAATCCTAAATCGAACCATCGTAAGTCACGGACTGTCTGCACATTGAACAAAAAGTTTAAAACATACAGCCTTCTGTACTAATGCTACAGTCTCAATGGGAAGACAGCACCTGCCAGGGTGAGCAGGCCCAGGTACCAGCCACATGGCAGCCATGAGCTCCCGGGGGGCCACGGGTTCCTCTGTCCCCTCTCTCTGTGGCAGTCTCTCTCCCTCTGTGGTCCAGGGCCTCTGAGGGGGAGTTCCCAAACCCCTGGCTCTCAGCAAATCTGGGCTGTAATTCAGCCTTGGAAATGACCAGGGATCGTCCTCCCCTGCCTGAATCCCGGCGTCAGGATCCCATTTCCGACCAGGATGCCACCACATCCCAGTGGCTGCTCGAGAGTAGGGCGCCCACAGCCACCGCCGATGTTCGCCGCAGCCTCTCACTTTAGGGAAGAAAACGAAAGCAAGTCTAGTGGCTGCCATCTGATAATCACTATGGACACCGGACACCAGCCTGTGTCAGGTCTGGGTCCAATTAGCCACCCCCACAACAACACCATAGCAACAAAGGTAATATTATTGTTCTAAAGAAGAAGAAGAAAAAACCACAGACAGACACCCTACTGTACACAGCTTTTAAAGCCACAGAGATAACGTTTTTCCACACCCTACAAAACTTGCGCCTCTCACTTCCTGACAATGCGGCTTCTTCAGTAGGAAGCCTCAAGCTTGGGGCAACCAGCTCTTCACAGCACTCCAAGATGTGCGTCCTTCACAGGAAAGACAGGCATGAGAACAAGGCCCAGGAGTCGGGGCTGTGCTTCTCCCTCCGCCTCCTTCTTGGAGGCAGGGAGGCTGGTGGGCTGTGCCGGTGGGAAGCAGGACAGCCTCGGGGCACAGCTCCAAGCTGCCCTCTGTCCCTGTCTGTATGCCTGTCTGCCTTCTCTGTGCCAGCCCCAAGCTGGGCACTGGGGTTTTGGTGGTTGCAGTAATGAGCCGCACACTAATCTCCAGACCTAAATGTGGAAAGCATTAACCCGAATGAAAAGACATAAATCAGGAGGGGAGCTTATGACACGGAGGAAGACAGCTCTTCTCAGAGAGGGGAGCCTGGAGTGTTGCACAAGAGCTGAGTGAGTCACCGGCCAGCAGAGGGAGGACCGGAGGAGGAGGGAGGAGACAGGAGGGAGGGGTGCCCCCAGTGGGACTGGCGAGTGCATGGCCGTGGGCAGCGGTGCAAAAACACAGCTGTAGGTTCCTAACTAACCATGCTTCACCAGCAGTCTGGGCCGGGGAGGGGGGCAAAATGTCACCTCCCCTCCCCAACTCAGGAAGTGTTTCAAAATGTGTCCTCCCCAGAGAAGACGGCAGGAAGGAGTCTTCCTAACAGCCCACTGGTCACCCTTTACAGCCTGCAGCTGTGTCCTGGGGAAGCAAACCTCAGGCCCCTAGAGAGAAGGCCTCCTTATCCTTCTTTGCTCCTCCCTGACCACACGCCATACTCTTTTGGGGTCCCCAAGCCTCAGGTGCCCATCATGGACACAGAATTCTTTCTCCACCTTCTCGTCCATCCTCACTACCGCTTCTTATCTTTTCTTTCTTTCCTTCTCCCAAACACCCCATCTTCCACACAAGCTACGGCTGACAACGAGACAAACCCCTCAGCTTCCCCTGTCCCTAGTCCCTGGGGAGAACCTCCTACCTTCCCTTAAGATCTTGCTTCACCCATCAACTCCTCCACCAAGACGGATTCCCAGCCTTTAAGCTCTAAGTACCTGCTATGAGCGAGGCCCTGCTGTCCCTGGGTGTGGTGGTGGGGAGGAGGAGCCCCCGAACAGATAACCCAGCTGGGGGGTGGGAGCACCAGGAGGTCTGAGCCCTGGAGGCTCTAGAAGTTAGCTCAGCGGGACCCCTTCTGCTTTGAGCAGGACCCTTCCCTCTCTAGGTCATCTTCCTCTTGCTCTGATGGAGGACGAGTTGGGTTTAAAGATCAACTGGGTCGCTTCGAGACTGACAAGGTTCATCTGTAAGAAACACACAAAACAAAACTAACCTGCCCTAGAGCACGGGGCTGCTGTGGGGCTTACCCCAGAGAACTCACACTGAGCGGAAGTGCCGGGGCAGAGTGGGGCGTGGCAAATGGCCAGACCACTCACCGTTACTGGGTACTCACTAAGAGTGATGAACACAAAGCAAGATGGAACCCTGAGAGGGAAATCGCTTACAGGAGAGGACTTGGGAAGAGGGAACACTGAAATGGACTTAGAGGACAGCAAGCCACGAGGACAGGGTAGCAAGAGAGGGCATTCCAGGGCAGGGAGCCATTCATTCATTCACTCATTCATTCAACAAACACTGATTGAGTGCTCCTTATATACAAGACACAGTTTAGATGCTGGAGAGCACTAGTCCACAAAATAAAGATCTGTGCCCTAGTGAGCTTACATTCTCGTGAAGGCAGACACACAATCCACAACAGGCCTGATGGACAGGTAAATGACCCAGTTTTGTTGCAAGGTGATAAATGATGGAGAAAAAGAAGTAGAACAGGATAAAGAGACGGGCGTGGCAGAGTGAGCAAGAGACTTCAAGGAGATGAAGCAGTGGATTTGTTTCCGGTGGCTGCTGGAACAAATTACCGCAAAGTAAGGGGCTTAAAATTACAACACAAATTTACTACCTTATAGCTCTGGAGGTCAGAAGTCTGAAACGGGTCTCACTGGGCTACAGTCAAGATGCTGGTAGGGCTAGTTCCTTCTAGTGGCCGCCCGCATTCTTTGGCTTATGGCCCCTCCTTCACATCACTCAACCTCTTGCTTCTGTTGTCACATCTCCTACTGACCTGGCCCTCCTGCCTCCCTCTTATAAGGAAGCTTCACTTTACGTTGGGCCATCGGATTATCCAGCATCATCTCTTCATCTCGAGATCCTTAATTTAATCACATGTGCAAAACCCTGTTTGCCTTGTAAGGTAACATTCACAGGCTCTGAGGATTAGGACGGGGACATCTTTGGGGGATCATGCTGAGCCCAGTGGGGGGGAATTCGTCAGGTGGGCTGCAAAGGCCCAAACAAGCGAGCGTGCCTGGAACACGTGGAGGAACGCCCCAGCGGAGCCAGTCTGCAGGGGAGGAAG